ATTTTATGATTTAAGAAGAGATTGTATCATCCCGATATATAATATTTTGGGTCAGTTTGTATCAGAAAGATTTAAAATAGGACAAAGAAATCCAAAAACATACATATCAGTTATTCTGATAAATAGCAAATATCACATCTGATTTAACAATTAATTTTATTAGAATTTATTTAGTGATGCAATATTATATTTATTACATTTGTAAAATATAACTTTATTTAGTTCAATTACACTAATCAACCAAAATAATTTTATTTAATATAATTTGCTAAATAACATTATTTAATATTTTAACAATCAAGTTCTATACAAGTCTATGAAAGTCTTCTAAAATATCGTAAGTTTAGTAAGATATCAGGTGATTGATAGGTTTCCAAAAATCACCTTATTTTTTGTTGCGCTTATCAGAATCTAATTAATATGATATCATATAATAATAGGAATACCAATTCTTACTAAGTCTTACCAAATGAATATCAATTTCCGATTTGTCTTGATATTTGCCTGATAATTATTACACTGATTTTTCTTCATTTGACGTATGAAGTATAATATTATAATAACTTTAAAATAACTCACTAACCTACCCTTTAATACTTTAGTGAGAGATCTATAAGATATCATTCTTGTTATCAAAGTTAAAGCCTTATACATACTGGTCGAAATCAAAAAAATCAGATATGTGAAAAATCGGCTTAAATTTGGCTTAAATTCGGCAAATTATCAAAAAATTGGCCTAGCTGATTGGTATACACTAGAAATCGGTCAAGAATTAGCTGAAATTCGACCTATTTTATTTATAGCTGATTGATGTCTGATTTACATCTGATTGATATACATTAAAAATAGACTAAAATATTTTAAAATAAAATAAAATTCAGAAGGAAATATAACTGATATTTAGGATTAACAGCCAAATAATGCTAAAAATATCCAATTTATTTTTACAAATGGTATTTTCTATTAATTAGATTAATCGCCAAATATTCTTTTGCATTTCATCAGGCTGAAATTCAATAGTTAATCAGTATAAATCGACCCAAAATATGATGAACTAGTATTTTACAATCATGATTTTCTGGATAAAATTTAGTATCCTATAATTTGACATTACAAGTTTTTTTTTCGCTAAAATAATATCGCATATTTGAAAAATTTGAAGGTTTATACCAATGAACAAATGCTAAAAAATGTTCAGCCTTTCCAGATAGCAAATCGACCTTATGTGTAAAATGAAATTAGACTTAGTCAGGATAACAATCAACTATACCATCATTTGTAATAAATTTGGCTAAAATGTACGAATTTTTTACATGTCACAAAGACATAATGATCTGAAGATTTCAGAACCAATTCGACACCTTCCGAATTGATTCATTTTGACCTAAATCATTATACCATCTTCTGAATCCTTATCAAATAGTTTCTTAAAATCAAATGTGATATAAGTCGCATTGTAGTATTCAACCATCAAATCAAGCATTTTGCTTAAAATAATTATATTATCAGATGATAGTTTAAGGAATTTGCCAGAAAATGGTTCACTATCAGTAATATTTGATTTCTTAATATTTCATGAATTCATCCAAAATTGATGGATTTCATCAGAAGAAAATTTGTCTGTATCTGAAAGGGAACTAATTAAAGGCTGATTGTCTAACAATTCAAGCCCTTTTATCTCAATACTACCAGAACTTGTAATACTGTCGATTTGAATATCAAACATCAATCGACACATTAGCTCAAGTTCAATTTTTCTATTTCTATTCGGTAAAGAATCTAAAAATCGTTCATAAATTAGTAAGCCGATTTATTCAAGAAATTCTCAAAAAAAAATACCTAATATTCCATTCATGTGTTCAAAAGAAAATACCAAAACGCATATAATGGACCATAGTCTCTTGAACAATCATACAAATGGAGAGAAAAGTGAAGATTTAACGTGATTTTATTGCACTTGTGATTATGTTCAATCAACTTCACCATTTTAATTAGTCTTCGATATACTTCATGTAATAGATCTGATTCTACAATATGGCTTACTAAAATTATACAAATCCTTATGAAATGTGTAAGAATCTTTCTATCTACAATCGGAAGATGTTTTTAAAGTGAAACAGTGACATATACAATGAAAATATTCACCACTAATCAGCTGTAAAATTAGAAAATCCTTCTTCTTCATAAATTTTACCCAGAATTTGACTCAGGTCGGAAGGAATCTGAAACTCATTCATCTTTTTCTGAATCTTATCCAAGGAATTTAATGTTAAAATCTCTTTATCGATCCAAATTCATTTTACTATCCATCATTCAGATCATCTTACACCACGTTGCTTTATAAATTATTTTTGTGAAGTGTCTGAATTATAGCGTCTCTATTCTAACACATTTCGATGATGTTCAATTGGATCTCGTATAATGAACCAATCATCGATATTATCCATTTCAGCAAAATTATGCTGATGATTTTCATAATTTGCCTTCTTTTCACATCTATGACATGATACTAAGGCCGAAATATATCCACATATTTTTTAGCGGCCAGTACATCACATGAAATAAGAATTAAAGCTACACGAATGTTCTTTCCTTCAAGATGTTCATATGTTTTATTTATTATAAATCCATCCCAAAGTGATTCTAATTCATCTACAATCAGCGCTAAATAGTGATTTATTTTATATAAACTAACTTCGCTTGGTCCAGATAAAAGATTAAGAGTCAGTAAATTTTCACATTTAAATCAGATATCATAAGACAAATTGCATATAACAGCATATATTACTCTAATGCTATAAATAGTACCACCATATGGCTGGAATCAGTCGAGATTTATCATTAATCCAAGATGAGAATCAGCCACTTCATTTTAAAAAAATTTGCTGAATCTTTTTGTGAAGATTCTTTTAACGTTTGCCAAACTTTACTATCATATATATCAGTCATAATGTTGTCAAAATGCTGATGATTTGTTTATTGTCTCAGGCTAGTTTCAAAATTAGGCTGACAATACATAAAATTGAGTTGTTGTCGAATTCCAGAAAACAGAAAGATTAAATTAGGTCTAATTAAAATTCGATTTATTAATACTATTTTTTGTGATAACAGAGTATTGCAAAATCATGTTTTGCGAATTGATGAATTGGGAAATTCTATATGCTGACATTTCATTACAGTCAGCATATTATTCTGTTGAAAATTCACCACTTCCTGTTTTTGATACAGCTTATGACATTTGAAATAAGAAATGAAATAGTGAAATCGGTCATTTAATCTAAGTGCTTTTTTCATTAAGTATATTGAATTTGAAAAATTTCTAAATTTGTCATCTCCGATTTGTCAGAACCAATTTTATAAATTTTATTAACACTTCAGTTACAGACTCTATAATGTTAAATCTTGTCTGAAATAACATGATCCAAAGTAAAATTCACAAAAATCAGTTATCAATTGATTCTGTATTTGGTAGATTTTAAAATAGCTCATAATCTGATAGTGCATAATCTTCAAAAATTTTAAAATCATCCTCTACAGAAATATCATCTCACCTGTAATATAATCTTCTTCAGTGGTAAATTCTAAAGATTCTGAATGTTGATCAGTTTCTATTTCAGGATCATCAGAAGGATTTATATCAGATTTTAGAAGATTTGTGTATTTTCTTATACATCTCTAAAGTAAAAAAGTAGAATTAAAATCTTCTTGATGTTCATCATCAAATTCATATTTAACGATTTCTATAATTCGTCTAGTTGAAGTTGATGTTGATGATTCTCCCATTTCGTTTTGTATTCTGAATTGATGAAATGTATCTGAAATAGAACTTTGTGAATTTTAATATCTAACTCTAGTATTACGAGAGGTTAATAGCCTAGAAGTAGATATATTTTCTTCATTAGTTAAATTACTAATCAACCTACTTATTTTTCTACGAGAAGGTGTATTTGAAGATTGAAAAGTAGAAATATCTTCTTCATGAATTAATTTAAGAATTGATCTATTTCTTTTACGAGAAGATATATTAGAAGGTTGACTAGATGATAAATCATCATCATCATCGCGTAATTTAGAAATTAACCTTTTTCAGCTTATTTTTATTTTATAATTGAGAAATTAAGAGGAAAATAAAAGTTCAAAATGGAGTTATTTTTGAGGGCAATTTTAGTTGAATTTTATATTTTTTTAAAAAATGCAATAGTTTCGTAAATATTTATATTATTATACTAAAATATTGTTTTCCTTTTTTAGTAAATATAAACAATTAAACAAATTTTCTTTTTAAAATAATTGTAATGTTTATAAGGGGACTTACATATATGACGTAATTATGGGTTAATATAAGACGGACCCCTTCTCCCCCAGTTAGATTATAATATCACATGATCATAAATTTCAGCCAATCATCATCATGATTGTTGCACATGATTAAGGATTAGTAATGATTATACCAGAAAGATATGTAAAAATATATACAACGAATACAATAAAATCAACCTCCAGGATCATTTTATTAATACAATATAAATCAAAGTTAAGATAGTATTTATACTACATATATTATATACATACTAAGTATCTTGGATTTGTCTCACATAATCCAATGCATTTTTTTATAAGAACGCTGATTGTAAAGTTAATCACCATTGTGATATTGATTAATATACCTTTTACTAGTATACATTCTGACATTCGCTCAGCTAGAAGTTCTTCAACTTTCCTATACCTAAAAATTTTAGTGTCAAATTATTTAATAAAATAAATGCATGGTTTACCTTGCTTTTTTTACTTCATTGCTATTATCGAGTATTCATCATCTTTCATTTCTAGAATGATTAATAAAATAATAAATTTGAGTAATATAATCTGAACAGTTTAAAATCACATTGTTCTTTTGTAACTGTACATACGTGACTCGTCATCAAAATTTAACCATATGATTTCATTAAATCTATAGTGATCTAATTGTATTCTTGATTTTCTTGTCCAAACTTTTTAACATGCAGGCTTTTCTAACTACACCAAAATATAACAAGTTCTACATTTATAAATCCCCACAAATCAACACCAGAGATTTTGCAATGCTTTCAGATATTATCGTATGGTGAATATAAGAAATTCTGTGTACCTAAAAGTAAGTTTATGTACAGAATGTACTGACGCATGAAAAAAGATTTGGCATAAACTTCAAGAAGAAATTGAAAGTAAAATCCAAGAATATTTGGCAGCTCCAATTCCAATCCAAGGTTTTTTGCAAAATAATCATTCACGACCCGGCCCATCTCAAGTCTCAAGGCCTGCCTAAGTTACCCAGACCTTTCAACAACCAATAGAAGAGATAATTGTAGCTGATATTAATCCACCTCCCAATGCAGCCGCACAGAAAAAAGCCTCAGAAACCATCAATACAACTAACATAAAGCTTGCAGAACTTCAATGAATCTACAATTCTACTAATGACTTGAAAATTCAAAATAACTTAGCAGAATGCATAGCAAGTCTTAAGGAAACTTTATGCAATGAGGATAATAAGATTAAAAAATTGAAGCATCAAGCAGGCTATCAACGTAAAAGCAGGAAAAAAAAAGTAAAGCTTCTACAAGAACATCAAAAAGTAATACAATACAAATTACCTGGTCGTCCACCCTTTTGATTTAATATCTTGATTAACACAAACATATACATGAATATATCAAGTTTAGAGCTGCGAATAAAAAAGAAGAAAAGAAGTTATTAAAGTTAGGACTATCCGTCACCTCCAAGAAGAACTCAATTCAAAATATAATGAATACCTTTCACACACCACCCTCAGTAATTACCTTCTGCCATCTCGATCAAATTCTATAGCTGCAAAGGCTCACCACTATCCAGCTAATATTGCCATTACCTCTATTTCTCAAGATGAAAAAAAAAGAACATTCTGATGTATACTATTGTCTTGCATCTGTAAAAGAAGCAAAACAATTTGCAGCTTTGTTTCAACCCATTCTGTTATCATTTCCCAGGATAATAAAGCCAAGATTTCTCTTGGTATCCCTGCAGTCAGAAGAACTTTTCAAACCATGCAGAGTTTTTGAGAACCAGTTACATTACCCGATCATGATTTTCCAATTGGAATGCAAAAAAAGCTTATTCCATTGGTTTACTTACTCATTAACCCAAACAATACAACGATACTTTTCGTAATGGCCAACTTTCAATCTTCATACGTCCACAATACCAAGTTGGTACAAGTTCAACCTTTCATATGAGTGACCTGAATTCGCTAACAAAAGATAGTCATTTCAATAAGATACTAAAAGTCGATAGTCAGATCAAACCTATTTAGATTCTTTTAATCGACGGAGGCCCTGATGAAAATCCACGCTATATGAAGAATGTTCTTCAATATTGTAGAATATTTTGTGCATTCGATCTTGATTATCTTTCCGTTTAAACACACACATCTGGCCAATAAGCATACAATCCTGTTAAGCGTAATATGGCAATGCTCTCTTAAAAGCTAGCTGGGATAACATTGCCAATTGATAAACATGGTTCTCATCTCAATTCTCAGGGTTAAGTAGTCAATTTAAAACTTGCAATGAAAAATATACGTTATGCTAGTGAGGTCTAATGTGCTCTTTAGGAATATGATCCTATCTTCAGGAAACCAGTCACAATGCAATATATCAACTAAAAAAGTTCTCCATTCAGTAGTGTCATATTTCCTGAATGTGACAGAAAAAATAATAATGAAAAATCGGCTATACCCTTGTAATAGCTAGAAAATAATACCAAAATATGTCAATATTCTCTTGATATCAAAAAATGTGAAATTCTCTTTGTTGTTCACTTAGACATTATGAAGAGGCGGCCATTCTTCTTGCGAAAAACAATGGGTTTCTTCCACCTGTGACAAAAGAAAAAGATAGACACTTCTTAAATCCACTCATATATTAGAATATTGTGATAAGCTCAAAATATCTGGATATGATGCCCATTGTCCTTCTATTAATTTGAGTACTTATACTCGTCTCTGTTGCTCTGTTTGCAATGCATATTTCCTGACACTTTCCATTGTTGCCTTACATAAGAAAAATCAACATCCAAGACGACAAGAATGACCGGCTAAGCAAAAAAAATAACTTACCAATTCTATTGATAATTTTTCAATTACATCTGCATTAATTGGACAAGCGCCAGCTTCACATAATTAGAAAATACAATCGGAAGGTGAGTAATTACAAAGTGTTCAGCATTTATTGTAGCAGGAAGTAAAAAAGTTACGGCAAAGCTAGGACGAATTTAAAGTAATATATATAAAGAAAACTATTGTTAAATTTTGCGATACATTAAACAGTAAACTATAATAAATACATAAATTGTAAAAAAGATACTTCCCAAAGAAAAGCATCATATTTTTCTCAAAATAATGAAAAAAAGTAAAGGGTTTGTACTTTTTGATGCTCATATATTTAAAGTTTATGTAATATAATGTAGATCATCATGTAATTGGCTTCTTTATTGTGATTGGCTAATATAGAGGTGAGATTTTTGAGACCCTCCCATATAATTATGTCATATATGTAAGTCCCCTAACTATTTTTGTTAAGTTATTTTGATCTAATGCATGATAAAAGTATTTTTTCTGATTTACTTTAAATGCGTTTTGATCTAATGTATCGATAGATTATTTTCAAATCTTGTATCGATTTAATGCATGATGAAAGTATTATTTCTGATTTACTTTAAGTGCATTTTGATCTAATGTATCAATAGATTGTTTCTGAATCTTGTATCGATTTAATGCATGATGAAAGTATTGTTTCTGATTTACTTTAAATGTGTTTTGATTTAATATATTAATAAATTGTTTCTGATTTACTTTAAGTCTTTTTTAATGCATAATTAAAGTATTTATTA